TGCTTTGCCGAGCTTTTTCTGAGACTTTCAACGTGCCACTAGTCACGTTCGCGCACGTTCGCGCGCACTCTAAGACTTTGACGGCTGCAGTACAGGACAGCTGAAGCCTCGATCAAACACACATTTTACAGCTGCCTCCCACCTCTATACCTCTTCTGCCTGAGACGGGCGACGAAAGTAGTAGCACCGAGGCATCACATAGCCTCCTTTCGGATTGGAACCAATTAAAGATCTTGCAGTGGACACGCCTGCATCAGCCTCACCCAAGCTGAGGGAGTCATGGCACACAAAGCTTACTCGCACCCATGCGCGACTTGCAGCAACTGCAGTTGCAACATCATCCGTCCGGCGGCGCCCTGCTGGACTTCTGGGCAAGTGTCTTCAAGTGCAGGCTTCATCAGGGCTGTCCTTAAGCATAGGGGGGGAGGCCCTCTGCGTTTGACAGAAAAGAAACATCCTGGACACCGCCCGGCAGCAGCCAAGCATACGATCCTGCGAATGCAAAGCTTCCTCGGAGGCATCACGTGGCCGCCTTCCCGTGCAGACGCCGCGCTTGAGTTCGTGTCACAGCAGGACGATGTCCTGCGTCGGGCATCTGACCCACAATTAGATGCAAAAGATGCATGCCGAGCTGCCCACTTGTCCCACAAAGGTAAGAAAGGTCCTGAGCGCTGTTCAATGTTAGGGAAGTGCGTGCTATCTGTAGCCTCACGGATGCGAAAAAGGAATACGCTCCCGGCCGCGCTGCAGCGCCTAGACAGACGCAGGTCTGTGCACGACGAAAAGATCTTGCAGCTGGATATGGGCAAAGCTGTAGTTGCTGCAAAGCTTTCACATGTCGAAGAAGCTGAAAACACCTGCATACAGGAAAAGATCTGCGGACAAGGATGTTTCGGGAGCGTGCCCGGGCTTCACACCTTTGGCACACAGAACGGAAACGTGCCGAACACTGTTCTGCGAAAGCTGTGATTACTGCGAAGACTTGCGAGTGAACAGCCTTCCTCTGAATCATGGGCCGGTTGCCAAACTGGCCCTGCAACATGCCTCTGCTGGCTCGGAGTGTAGGCGGCAGGTACGAGCTCGAGGCTTCAGATGACATACAAGCACGCAGGGGGTACGTGGAGGCTACGCCGGATGGGCTTCCTCTTCTTTAGTACCCTGTCTGCCAGTCTATCCACTGCGTGGCCGAGACAGCCGAAAAAGCTTGCCGCTTGTAAAGGCAAGCTCAAAACTAACAAAGCGAGCTCGACTCAAGCGCAGGTCCGCGTTCTTCGAGCACGTGCTAACTTGCAAGCCTCAGCTGTGGTTTCGGCCCTCCGCATGCGCCCTGCCTCTGGGACCTCCCCTCTCCGCCCAAGCTCCATGCATAGCCACACGAGCATGGGCTCCAGCATGATCGGAAAGGCTCGGACTGCTGGGAAGAGGCGGCTAAAACTCTGAGCCTGTCCGGGCAGGAACACGGACATCACCACTTGCAGCTCGTTTCGCCGAGCCGGGTATGTGTGGCTCCCAAAAAACGAGCAAAGGTGCTTGGCAACTTCTTGCTCGGGAGCATGTCGCGAAACCAGGAGTTTTGGAATTCAGTTCCTACGACCCGCCTTTGCAAGTTTCCAAGCCAGAATGACCTAAGCCTCATCATATGATGCTTTACCATTGTGTAGATGACAGGAGAGGGCTGGGAACAAGAAGCCGAGTGCGCAGGCTGGGACAAATTTTGGAAACCTGCACCGAATGGTTCAAATAAGGTGAAAATGCTCTGGAAATCCCGGGAGTTTGGCAATCGTTCGTATGATTTGAGCCCTGCAGAGCAACGATCTTTGCACCACGGCTCTTGAGATCAGCGCCACAGGCTCCGACACCCAATCCAACGAGGGCTTTGGCGCCGGCAGGGGCGTGCCATGCCGAAAAGACCCTAAGAACATCTTTGCCCATCTCTTGGCGAAGCGACGTGACGCGGCGTGCACCTGCGGGAGGTCTCCTTCGCCATAGTGACACCTCTGCCAAGGCCGGTCACTCTGGAAAACCGGGTCGGAAGGGAAGGGTTGCACGGCAAAGCGAGATGTCTCGCTCTCCCTCTGTGCATGCATGTCTACTGTGCAAGTGCCTCAGGCTGATACATCGGAATTTCTGTGTTTCCCGCGGGCCGACGTGGCCACGGCCGCAACTCCAATTTCTGCGCATTGTCAAGGCCTGGATCGCGGCTGATGCAGGTGCTTGAAGCGAGTGCCACCGCTGCAACAGCCTTCCTAAGCTTGACACCCGAGCAAGGGAAAACAGAACACGCAATCTGGATGTTTCAGATGTGGGGTCCTGCTCGTGCCGGTGGATTCTCTACACCAGCCAGGCGGTTTATTGAACGGTCACAAGACTCCGGCTCCAAAGGCTTCGAACGCCCGGCGTTTCCACTGAGCTGGATCGCTGGCGTGGCCCGAACGCGGCAGATCATCCAGGCAGCGCCGAGTCGTGAGCCTTCTTACAATCCGTCTCAGACTGGCTGAAAACAACGGGCGAATCCGAATGCCACACGCTCCATCTTCAGATCTCTGAAATCCAGAGATCAGCTCAAGTCACGTGGCCAAACATCGTTTCACTGCAGAGCCTCGTGCCCTGCAATCGGGATCGTACAGGTGAAAACTGGTTGGGTGGCTTTTCGGCACGCCTCGAGAGGCTTCACTACCGCCAGTGACACTAACCTAAGGAGTGCATCCCAACGTCCCAATCACGTGCAAATAGAAATAGGAAGGACGGAAGAGCTCATGCATTGTTGCCGAAAGTCACAAACGCCTCGAAGTCTGGGCCGTTGCCAAGGACCGTAGTGCAAAGTTTAGGGTCTTAGAGCCAGGCGCAAACTTACAGGTTCGCCCTCCATGTTCGTGTGTGACGGGCCCGAAACGGACTGTCAAGTGCGCCGCATCTAGCTTAGAAGCAGCTCAGTTTGTGCCCGGCCACGCACTTACTTCTCCGTCAAACACCACACAAGCGGATCGCTAGAAGAATAGAATTGAAATGTCCAGGCCAATCTGCAAGCAAGTCTGTGCCAAAGAACGGTGCCAAGCACCTGCGTATGGGAGCCTGCTACGAAACCTGAATGTGTCTGGTGAATGCCTCTGGCAACAGCGGCTTCATCACCACGTCTACAACACTTGAGCAGACTATGGCTTCGGAGCAAGGCTTTCTTCCTTCACTCGTCCCGAATTCAATGCTGGTTGTCATTGTATCTACCAGGGTTACCAGGGAATGGTACATTTATGTACGTATCATTGCTCGGCAAAGACTTGATTTCAAAGAGCATGCATGGTTGTGGTTCGTAGCCAGCAGATGCACATGTTCCAGCCTGTGGCAGGTGTATCTTCAATCTCCTTAGTGCAGAAACCCTTCCCGTTTTGTGGTCAGTTTTGGGCTTCGTGCTGCCAGTGCGAGTGGGTTAAATGTGCTGCCAAAGAGCGACTAGGGCTGTGGCTTGCTGGGAAGATCACGAAGATCACAAAACAGATAGATCCGGAAAATGCACAAATAAGATCAAATAAGATACACGACGGAGCCAAGCACGACAGCATCGTCAGCAGTGCAGGTTGGGCTCTTCATTTTCCTGACGCCAAAGAGCCCAAAGTGTCCACATGGCATTTAGACGAGTAAACGGGCATCTGCCGTTATCGAGCTGAAGTGTTCGCTGGCTGCTGTTGAGGTTGTGTGTGCAGGCTCGGAACTTTGCTTCTCCCTACTGTACCGGCAGAAACAACTTTAATCAAAACGGGTTCGTGGTCTGAAACTCTGCTTGTCGAAGGCTTCGGACTTGTTACTCTCGCTGCCGCTCTGGCACAGCAGCCCTGCGCCGTGCGCTCAAGCAAAGTATGTGGGCGGTTTTGCAAGATGAAGCCCGAAACTGGTCTCGCCGTGGTTGCTCAATGGAACCACCCAATAAGGACACTGCTCGCTGTTGACAGGCGTACAATGTCCTTAGCCTGTCGCTGCTCATCAACATATCCCAGACAACAGCGCGTTTACAAGGGAGCTGTCGAGACACGAGGGGGGCTCCTATAACATCCCTCGGGAAAAGGCAGTAGGGGTCGGGCTCGGTGCCTGAAGCTCATCTTGCACCTCTGCGTTTATGATATGCGGCGGTTCTGTGGGACCTAGCTATTGAAGCTTCGAGCGCCGTACATGGGGCCATCCTGGCACTCACTGATGCCATGAATTCGAGCTTTTCTGCACGATGTCGCATGTAACCAGTCCTGCTTCTCGGAAGGCTTCGGAATCCAGGCTGCAAGCAAATGGCTATGTTCTGTCCGGTCGGACATAGAGCCCCGTCAAACATGAATAGTCACCACTGTTCGGGATAAATCAACAGTGCGGGTGTCTCTGTGGGGAGATCCTTCAAGTTCCAAACTTGCGTCCGTGCCTTCTGAGATGCAGTTCAGGCGCTCAGCGTCTGGATCCCTACAGCTGTCTGGGCTTGTCTCGTTCCGGCGACAAAGTCTCGAAAGGAGTGCTTACACTTTCGCTCTGGGGTTGAACCAAACCAGGAGCTTGAGCTGTCACATTTGGCGCTTGTACGGTCGTATGCTGTTGCAATGAACTCATGGCCCCGGTGAATTACCTTAAGTGAAGAGTGTTTCCTTTCTTGCGCGGGGTTGCCGAAAGACGACGAGGTCTCTGAAGATAGAGTCATGTTGGTGCAAATCGCTTTCAGATCGGAAGGCTCAAGGCCTGAGCCAGATCTTGTTGGGGCTCGTTAGACGCTAACAAATATTCATAAATCTTTAATTGAATATACTTCCTCATACTTCTAGCACTACAAGAGCCCAAGCCCTGACTGAGCTTTCGCAGAAGGGCAGAAGCGAAAAGTCAATATTTTCTCAGGCACCGTAGGCACCATGCAACGTTCCCGAGCTTCAGCTCGTTGCCTGGTTCCAGAATCCTCAAAGATAGTATCAAGCTGCTGTTGCGCCTTCCGGCAGCAAGATGACCTATTACTACGATTACACTCCTCCGCCGATTAGTTACGCCGCTGCATGGGGTGGTCGCATCGTCTCAGGGGAAGCGCCCGGCGCGGCATACGCGAAGATCGGAGTGCGGCCGCAAACCCTGCGGCACTTCGGAAAGTTCGTGCTTTCTGGTCTTCAATCTTTTGTACGGGATGTTGCACACCAGTCTCCAGGACTCTAAGGTCTGTCAGTCTCTTGTGCAGTGCTGCGTCTGTCACCAGCTCAAATCGCAGGGTTCTGCTGGAAGCTGTCTTGTCCCAAAATCCTGCTTGCTACAGGGCCAAACCGCCTTGCCTGTGAGCCCGCGGGTCCGCCTTGAGCTGCCGATCCTGTGCGCAGTTGCAGTACCTGACGCTTTGGCAAGGGGGGTGTGGAAGCTGGCTCGGGACTTTTGTTGATTCGAGACCACGGCGCTCGCAAAAGCAAGTCTCGTTCCTCAAAATCGCAGCCCAGCTGCCATACACCGCCCGCCTGCGTTCTTGCAGGCAGCACCAAGGTGAGCGGGACTAGAACCCGGCAACCTGAAACACCATCCGACTACCACCTGCCCACACAACAAACACACCTACCTTCATGCTCTGTGCCAACCCTTCCTGTGTAACTGATGAAGAGGAAGTCTGAAGTGGCCGAAACATCTCACATGCCTGAAGCCTCGTGGTGCAAGTTGCCGACGCCCCCAATCGAAGTACAATCCCTGCCTCTTTTACATCTTTGCCTTTGTTGTGCTCTCTCTGTCCCTCGATCTCTCTGTCTCTTCGTCTTCCCTCTCTTCTTCCACAGTCTATTCTCTCTCTCTCCCTCTCCCTTTCCCTCTCCCTCTCCCTCTCGCTTTCCTTCGCCAGGGCTATGGGCGGGAAGGGCAAGCCCCGCTCGCCCGCTCCCCCCTCCCTCCCTCCCTCCCTCCCTCTTTCTTTCTTTCTGCCGGGCGTAGGGGTCCGTTTGCGGGACCCTCAGGCCATTGGCCCACCCGACCACCCCTTTTACTATTGAGTGGTCGGCTTTGGGGTCTTCTCTGACCAAGGCATCAGAAAACGAGGTATGCTACAAGTGGTTATGCAGTGAGCCCCCGACCCCGTAGCCTCTCTCTCTCTCTCTCTCTCCCTCTCTCGCTCGCTGACGTGCTGGAGAGCACTGGTTCGTGAACTGCATCCACGCCCTCCAGGCATCAGCTGCACCAGAATTCTCAGCAAAGGCAGACACCTCAGCAGTCCGGTGCAGCTAGCTGGTAGTCTGAACGAATCGCAAGGATTGGCATGGCTCTGGGACACAAGGACGGGCTGGTGAAATGTGTCAATCAGGAGAAGACGACCAAGTGGAGAGGGTAACTGGCTGGCGTTGGAGGTTGCTATGAGCCTTAGATGACACAAGACTTTGTCGGCGCGACGCAAGATTTACAAACACTTTGGACTGCAAAAATCCTGGAGCTGACTGAGGCAGAGGTTGTCTTCGCTGGTCGACTGTCATGTCCTGTGCCGAGAATCAGTTATGGTCGTGAAACATGCGAAGATGCCGGATTGCATTAGGTAACGGAGTTGTCGGCGTAAACTGCGATTGCTGGGATGGTCTGGGATCCCTGCCATGTTGTACAGGCTGCCACCAGATGCTTCCTGGGATGACTTGGTGGATGCCAGTGTCCGTCGAAACTCGAAGACTCCAAGCAGACGCAAACGCAGACACGGACACACAAACTCACACACAGACACACAAACACACAGAGAGAATCAGACAGAGACACGAACACACAGACACACGCACACACACACAGACACACACACACACACACACACACAGACACACAAACACACACACACACACACACATACACACACACACACACACTCTGAAGAAGTGTAGTCTGCACTCCCGGATGGGTTCCCTCAAGGGGATGCTACACGGGATGATTATGATGAGGTTGGTGATG